TTTTTGGTATTAATGATTTATAAATTATAAAATTCTAGTTGGCTATCAAGATTGCCACCGGCAACATGTCTATTACCAGTTTTTATAATTCAAATGCTACAAATGTTGCTGCCGTAACTGCTAGCTCGTTATCAAAAGATAAAGAGAAATCTGAACCATCACATACTGATCGAACATTAATAATCATGGATGAAGTTGATGGAATGTCAACTGGTGATAGGGGTGGCACTCAAGAGTTAATTCAAATAATCAAAAAATCAAAAGTATATTATTATTATTACATAAATAAATTAAATAAATTATTAATACTAATTTCTATATTTTATGTCCATAATCATTTTCATTGAAGGTACCAATAATCTGTATTTGTAATGATAATAAATCACAAAAAATGAAATCTTTTACTAATTTATGCCAGGAAATTAAATTTCAAAGGTAAATAATTAATTCGATCATCTTAATTTGGAAGATTAATGTATTTATATGTAATATTTAAAACAGGCCACGTGTTGAGCACATACGATCAAGAATTTTATCAATCGCTTTCAAGTAATTAAATCTTTTTTTTGAAATGACGTTGAAAGTCATATTTTGCTTTTACAATAACTCGTGCCACTCAAATCATTTTTTTTTTTTGGTTTGCCTATGTTTAGAGAGAACTTGAAAATAAGTGGTAATGTAGTTGATGCAATTATCAAAGGAACAAACACCGATATACGTCAAGTCATGAATTTATTATCATGTTGGAAACTTTCAGAAGATAGCATTGATTATAATCAAGGAAAACAACTGTATGGATTGGATTGGATTGAATTTATATTTATTTATTACTGATTTTTTTTTAGTTTTTTAATATATCTTTTATTTTATATTACAGAATAAAGAACTCGGAAAAGGATATAGTCTTAAATATTTGGGATGTGGCAGTAAAATTATTGGATCCAGTCACCTGGTCATCTAGAAACGAAGTCTCATTAAATGAGAAGTTGAATCTTTATTTTCATGATCCAGATTTGACACCCTTGATGATACAGGTTTTTTCGGTTTTTTTTTCCAGAGATGGTATATGCGATAAATTAATAAGCAAGATTTTATTGGATTATTAATATATATATATATATATAGGAATGTTATATCAATAAAATTAGTACAGTTGCTAGTAAGGAATTCATTGATAAAAATAAGGATAAGAATGTCGATCCAGAACTTCTTGAAGAATTTGCAGTGATAAATAGTTTAAGCAAGGCTGCTAGCTTCATATCTGAAGGAGATTTAATTGGCGGAATGATACATGGGTAAAAGACATATCAGTGTCTTTTTTCGGCCCATTTCCTCTTCAATTCATCATTTATTTGTTTGTTTGTTTATTTATTTGTCTGTCTGTCTGTCCGTTAGATCCCAACAACGATGGTCCTTGATGCCTTTTCACGGTATGGCATCAACTGTAATACCTAGTTATTATTCTTGTGGTAGAGGCCAATATCATTTCCCTAGGTAATTTATTTTTGGAAATATGTAAATTGGGGTCTTTAACAAAAATATTTATTGAAAAATCAATGATGATGACTTTGGTTTTTTCATTTGTTTTTAGTTGGTTGGGACAAAATAGCAAAGCAATGAGAAATAAAAGAGCATTGAGTAAAATTCAAAGCAAGTTAAGATTAAAATGTAACGCTAATAAAGATGAGATTTTAATGGACTATATTCCTGCCTTGCTTACAAAACTATACCATCCGTTAATTGGTGATAACGTGGTATTTACTATTTATTAATTTTTTTATTCTATGGCATACATTTAGTAATAAAGATTTATTGATATATATATTTATTTATTCCTTCATTTGTATTGGTTTAGAACATGACGAATATTCAAAAGGTGATTGATTGTTTAGATGAATATGGTTTAACAAAAGAAGATTGGGAAACCATTATTGAATTGGGTATGGGAAGCAAATTTGAAGCCGCAATGAAAAAAATTAATTCGAAAACTAAAACCAATCTTACAAAAAGGTTTGTATTGCATTATTTTATTAAATGAATATTTTTAATAAGTATATGACACAGTATGACTAATAAAAACCTTTTTATTAAAAAAAAAAGGTACAATGTTACTCATCAACCTATGATTTCTGTAAAAAAAGGAAAACATGGTTCAAAAGCAACTATATTGTCACATATTATTATTGATAAAGAAGATGAAGAGATTGATGGTGATGAATTTAACGGTAATATTGAGGATGAAGAAGAAACATTAGTTGATTTTTAAAAATTTATAGATGATAATTTACCCTCAAATTTTAGAATAATTTTCTATATATTCATTAAAAACAAATAGTTAAATACTAAATATTTTCAAAATAATGTGAAATTGGCTACAATACAGATTTGTTTGAACTGACCATTATTTTTTTTATGAAATATGATTCTTTTGACTTTATCAAAAAATATTTTGCAGATCAGTTGAATGATCGGCAAAGTTAGTCTCTCTCGGATGATAAAGAATTTATTATTGATGTTTTAATATTTATGACTCTGCCTAAAATCTACGACACCTTCATCATCCTACCAAATGGCTCCACGTAGTGTTGTCAGCTTTGCTTTGTGTCTTTGTCTCTTACCCACCCATCATAGCAACAGCACACAGATAAATTTAGCTCATTCAAAATATTAGCGTTGAAGGATTAATAATCGAAGGAAAGGAAGTAATAATATTTAAACATAAAATATCAAAACTACTCATTGAAATATTATTTTACTTCTAAGATGACAACAACAACAAGGCACGGTATTAGCTTTGAAAACTTTTCATCAAAAGACGCGTTTTGTGGTTGGCCAACAACTTTATTAAATAATTGAAAGAATATTTTGCTTACAAAAATCGAACTTAAATCATTGATAGTAATTGACACTAATATTAGGACATGGTTGATAAGGCAAATAAAAAAAAATTGTTTCCTTTTTTTTCCTTCGTTTAAATTTTATGTTATAATATGATTAAAAATCCGATCTTTTACCCTTATTAAATTATATATTGTTTTGGCATATAAACCTGTGCACGCCCTTTTCAAAAATGGTTTCATGGCACATATTTTAAGAATCAATCAATATTAAAATCAAAATTACAACATTCTTCCTCCTGCCTTTTCTGTTCTCGCATTCTGAAATAACTGAAAAATTTAATATATGATTAAATTTTTTAATACAATAATTGCGTCTTCGCTCGTTACCGACCACCCAAAAATTGGTTTGAGAAAATAAAATCCTAAACATAAACGAACCTAAATACATACTTCTACCAAAATATATTTCTATCATAAATTATGGTACTCTATTAATAAATCCTAGATCCTGATATTTTTTTAATATTTTATCCAGTTGTTCTATTTCTGGTGTATAAATTGGTGGTAATTTATATTCCAGCGGTTTAGGTCCTTTCCAATTTTTCATTAAAACATCCAAAGAATTGACAAGATCAACATTATCAGAGATGGAAATCCTTTGTCCTAAATCAATACAACTTAAATTTTTTGGTAATGTTTGATTCAATATTTGGAATATATTGTTAACATCTATTCGAATTTTAGGAAATGCTGGAAGTGCAATATGTTCCAATTTTATACAACTCTTTAATAATTCCATTAATTGTTGATCAAATTCATTTTTATATACTATTGATATGTATTTTAAACCTTTGCAATTTTCCCCAATTGAATGAAAAAGATTTGCTAGATTCAATTCATCATTACCCCTAATTGCCAAGTGTTTAAGATTTTTTCCATTGAATTTAATAATTTTTACCAATTCTATTAGACATAGTCCCCTGAAAAAAGTCAAATCTACAGTTTCTAAATTTGGAAATAAAACAGATTTTAAAATTTTAAAATCTTTTTTATAACTATAATGGAGGGCTAGCTTGTTTAAATTTCGAAATGTTGAAATCAAAGAACTTAAATTATTTTTTTTGTCACTTTTATAACAAGTTATTGAATTAGAATGCTTTGAAATTGCATGTAATAATTTAGCTGATAAAATTATATAGTTGCTTGATTGAATGGTTAATTCTTTGATTTGATTTTGCGCTTCAATTAGTTGAGCTATACTGTCATTAACAATTGTAGCACCATCATCCAAATTATCATAAAAATTATTTATTATTAAAGATTGGATTGTTTTACAATTCTTTGCTAATTTTAAAAAAAATTTACGGTTATCAGAAAAATCACATTCTAATTTACTAAGATCTCTAAAACAAATATCAAATCTGCGATGATTAATCAACCATCCATTACATTCTAATTCAAAAGTAGAACATACATTGATAGCATTTGAATAATCTAAAACAAATTCTATTAATCTTCTGTTTAACAAATAAATTTTCCCATATCCATATAGCAGAGTTTCATCTTCAGTAGACGGGATTTCTAGTATGGTAACAAACTTTGCATAATTGTACAATGTTGGTCTGTCCAATAGTTTAAAAGTCAATTCAATATTATTTCTTGATAAAAAGTCCCTGTCTTCTAATAACAAACAATTGATTAATATTTTGATGCTGCCATCAGAATGGAATGGATCTCTCCATAATGTTGGAATATTGATGTTGCACCATTGTCTATTAACTAGAATGCATGAGTATAAAGTTTTATAATCTTTAATATATTTGGATATTTGTATTAAAACCTCTGTCGGTAAACTTTTTACGTGCATTTTTTTTTTATTTTTTTATTTTTTTATGTAGACTTGAATAAGTTACACAAAGGAAGATTCCGGCTAAAGCTTATTATTATGGAATGCATAAAAGTTACACGTTTGGACAAATTAATAAAATTAGTTACGATAAAATCTTTATATATTTTTTTTAAGGTTAACAATTTGACAATTTTAATTAAAATTTTTTTAAAAAAAATATCAATCAATCAATATATATATTTATATATATTCAAAAATCAAATTAAATCCATATAACATATACACTTTCTTTTTTTTCTGGGATTTTTTTATAAATGGACCAGCCAGTTACAAGTTGGGATGTCAATAAAGTGAATTATTGGCTTTCTTCACTTGGATATTCTGCATATGAATCACAAATAAAAGGTATTTAATAGAGAAGGCTTTTATGATTATTGGTTTTAATATTATATATATCAATGTTTTGAACAATTAAAAAAATGTGAATTTTTCTTTTTTTTATTCAATCTATAACAAATTTCAATTGTGTTTATAGAACAAGATATAAGCGGAGAAATATTAGTTCATTTAGATCACGAGGCACTCAAGGATCTTGGTGTTCGTTCAGTTGGTCAACGAGTTACAATACTTAAAGCAATATACAATCTAAAAATACAACATAATATCCCTGTAGAAACAGGAGAATATGTTCCACCATGTATGTAAGAATAATTGAAAAAGAATGAATTATTATCAGATTTATTGTTATCATCATCATCATCAATTGGTTAACAATTTGAATTTGAATTTGAATTTGAATTTTGAATTGAATTGAAGAAATAATAATCTAATTCATTATTATTATTTTTATTTTTTTACAAAAAATTCAATAATAATAACAATAGCCGTAGAATTTGAAAACGTATGTTTAATATAATTGATTAAATTATTATCTTTCTTAATTTATATCTCATTAAAATTAAAATTAATTGTTAATTCAAATTCAAAATTCTAATATTAGGAAATATATAATATGAATGGTGTTCCGGATATTAGAAAAATAGAAAAATCAATTCATGAAAAAGGTTGATCTCAATTTCACATATTAAATATTTATAATTTATAAATTTTTTTTTAAATAATTGTGATTATAATAATTATTATACAGATGCAAAAATTAATCAATTATCAAAAGAATTACAAAGGTTATCAACAGATGTTTCAAAATTAAGAGAAGAGTTGACACCTATTTGGAAAATGGCAAAAGAAAATAAGGTTCATTATTGTTATTATTATTATTATTATATTATTTATAACCTATCTATAAATTGTAGACGATGATCAATTGAACTTGCTACCGTTACCATTATTGTTACCATTACTAATTACTATTATTATAATTATTTATTTATTTAATTAAAAATATTCATCCAATTATTATTATTTTTCTTTTAGCCATTACCAGAACCAGAATCAAATAGTAATAATTCTGGTAAAAAATCAACACAAAAAAACAATCTTCAAGTTACAGTTCCTGACATTAATGTTACAAATTGTTCAAAATCTCCATCTCATACCAACTCTCCTTTTGATGCTTTAAGTGCCCCTTCTTCACCTCGATCACCTCCAGA